TATCATTAGTACTTAGTTTTAAAAGATCATCATTCCATTTTTTGTGACTTAATATATAGATACATATTTCATAAAAGATTTAAAAGATTCCAATGTAACATCAGTTTAACAGACATAACAATAAAAATTAAAAGCAAATAAAATGCCTACTTAGGAGAAAGAATACAAATAACTTGTCTCTCACCTTGACCAAATGGTCACTTACTGATGCTGACAGAATACGCACACAGTCAGTACAGGATATGGACGCATCTACCTAAGGTTTTCCTATGCCACCACAGTATGAGGATGAGCAACAAGGCAGCAGTGTGGGTGGCAGGCACAGGCAGCTCTCAGCACTTGTGATCCTCACCAGTGCTACAAGCTCTTGACATAACCAGAGATCCACCAGTGCCACAGCTAGCATCCTTCCACAGGACATAATTCTACCTCTTTTTCTTCTCCCTCCCAGAAAGTGGAAACTACTTACACATTCTGGTTAATCCTCATGCAGACTTGTCTTTCAATATTAGAATTGTGATTCTAGTTTGCAATTTCTTTTTACTTAAGATGCTGCTCTAATTTTGAAAAATATCAGATTTCCAATCATGAAATAATTTGAAATCTAAATGTATGATTATATGGCAGGTACTCCTTTATATTTATTTATTTAATCCACAAAAATCCTTGTGTGGTGGGAATTATGCTTTTCATTTTACAGGTAGGGGGCCTAAAACCTAGAGAAATAAAGTGACCAGTATCACCTGTGAGTAAATGAGAGCGCCAAGACCCAAACCAAAGACATGTGATACCTGAGCCTGCCTTCAGAATTTATGCTACATTTTACTGCCTCTTAGACTACTGTAAGGCAAGCACATGTGTTTCCAACATTCACATTTTGCACAGCTAATACTGACCCACTGAGGAGGGTGTTAACAATGATTTGGGGCATTGGCCTGGATTCAACTCAATCCCGCAATTCAGTGATGTTGGGAGACATTAGCTATTGTCTTTAATACTGCATCAGGTAAACATATATAATAATAGCTCCAACTCTACAAGACTATTGAGGATTCAATGAGTAAATAAATGTAAAGTGCCTGACATAATTCTTAATGTAATACATGTTAGCCATTATTACTTTCTATATATGCTACTAGCTTTTCAGCTAGAGAGAAAACTATCCTTTCTCAGAGCAACCAACATTTGCTGTGGTCCCTCTAATTATGCTTCTTACCGGAAATCAAAAAGGACTCAAGATGTCTCTGGTACAGACAGATCACCAGTGCCATCTACTGGCAAGTGGATAATAAAGTCACCAAATGAGGAACTGCTTATAAAGGGTGAAATTTGTATAGACACAAATTTGATTTTGATAAGGTGAACTAAATCTAATGTATTTAGAAATCTCTCACAAACTGAATAGTTTGAGAGATTCTTAAAAATTTTAATTGACAAAATGACATTATTTTTGGTAACATGGTTTTGAAACATGTTTATATTATAAAATAGCTAAATTAATCTAATTAATATAGCCAACATATCATATACTTATTTTTTGTGGTAAGAATATGTAAAAATCTACTTTTTTCAGTCTATAATGTGTTATCAACTACAGTCACCACTTTGTACAATGTATCGCCAGAACTTATCAAGTGTACCCAAATTTTTGCCTTCTCTGGCCAACCTTTCCACACACAAACACCCTGGTTTTCAGGCCATGGTAACCACCATTCTACTCTGGTTCCACGAGTGTGACTTTCATGAGTAAGACCATGCATACCTATCTTCCATGCCTGGCTTGTTTCACTTAGCATAATACACCCCATATTTGCCCCTGCTGTTGCAATGCCAGGATGTACTTCCTTTTGGGAAGTAGTATTCACTTCTATGTGTGTACCACATTTTGCTCATTCATTCATCTGCTGGTGGGCATTTAACTCTGCCACTGTGAAGAATGCTGCAGTAAACATGGAAGGACAGAGGTCTCTTTGACAAGCTGATTTTATTTCTGTTGGATATACACCCAAGAGTGGGATTGCTGGATCATATGGTAGTTTTAGTTTTAATTTTGTGAGGAACTTCTACACTGTTTCCACTAATGGCTGTGCCAGTTTACAACCTCAACAACAATGCACAAAGGTTCCCTTTCCTCCATGTCCTTGCCAACACCCACTTTTTGCTTTCATAGTCATAGCCATCCTACTTCACTGTGGTTTTAATTTGATTTCCTCTAATGCTAATGTGGTTGAGCATTTTTTCATATACCATCAGCATTATGGTTTTAATTTGCTTTTCCCGAATCATTAGGGTTCATCATTTATATGTCTTCTTTGGGAAATATCTATTCAGGCCCTTTACACATGTTAAAAATCAAGTTGTTTTCTTGCTATCAAATTGATTTCCTTATATATTATATATTTTGCATATTAATCCCTTATCAGTTGTATGATTCACAGATATTTTCTCTTATTCTGTACATTGTCTCTTCATTCTGTTGATTGCTTCCTATGCTGTATATACATGTTTTAGTTTAATACAATCCTTTTTGCCTATTTTTGCTCTTATTGCCTGTGTTTTTGACCAGACCAATGTCAAGAAGTTTTTCTGCAAGTTTTCCTCTACTAGCTTACAGTTTCAGATCTACATTTAAGCATTTTGAGTTGGTATTTGTATAACGGGTGAAATAAGATCTAATTTCCTTCCTGTGCATGTGGGTATCCGATTTCCCTAATGTCACTGTCCTTTTCCCTATGTGTAGTCTTGGCACCTTCATCAAGATTAGTTGATCGTGACTATGGATTTATTTCAGGGCTCTATTCTGTTGCACTGATCTAGATGTCTCTATCTGAGCCAGTACTATGCTGCTGTGATTACTATAGCTTTGAGATCAGGCAGTGTGATGCCTCCAGCTTTATTCTTTTTCCTCAGGATTGGTTTGGCTATTTGGGGGTATTTTGCAGTTCCAGATGAATTTTAGGATTATATTTCCTACTCCTGTAAAAAAAAAAAAAAGACTACTGGAATTTTGATGGGGATTACAATAAATCCATAGATCACTGTAGGTAGTATGGAAATTTTAAGAATTAAAGTTAACTGTGATATATCTTATAAAACTATTTGAATCTTATAAATGTACAAGAAAGAGAAGTTCCAAAGCCTACAAACTATAAGATGACTGCTTGGCAAACACAATACCAAAAGTAGAGTCTTTTTTTTTTTTTTTGCATAAGACAAAGAATTGCTAAACACTGCTACAACTTTCTACAGAGATCTGTCGTGTTAATAAATTCCTAATCTTCTGTAAGTCTCAATTTCTTATGATGCATAATGAGAATGTTGCACATGTTAAATTATTTTCTATTTTTAAAAATAAGTGATACATCACTACATTAATTTTACTATGATCAATCTACACTATTTCTGAGAGAAACCTTGACAACTTCCAAGGTCCCTTCCAATCTGATCATAATTTTAAGTGCAAAGATACTGCAGGAAAAGGACTAGAAATGTGAAATTTAATATGATTTAAATACACAAAAATCTATAACAGATATTAGGTGTTGTATCATAGACAGAGGAAAATACTACTACCATATAAAGATCCCATGTAATAGCATCACACAGCTTCACTTTCTGTATGTTATATAATTACTGATCAAAACTTACAGAACTCAAAGCTACTGTAATCTATACTATACCAGTAGCCCTCACTTTGCACAGTTTAAATGCACAAATTTCAGAATCACAATTTAGTTGAGTAACACCAGTTCTCTAACAACACAGTTCAAATTTCAGCTGTCACACTGTATTAGCCGCAATTATATCAGAGTTACCGGCTCTGCAGGCCACACATCACCATGTGAACAAGAGGTGTGTGTCATAACCAGTGACTAATCGTGGCCCCTCTCTCACAGACCGCTAATGATTGGGCCCTGCTTGTTTGCTATTCACTTCAAATATGGACAGCAGCCTATGTGGTCTCCACATCTCACAGGCAGATTAATCCTCATGGCATCTTACAAAGTGGGTCCCTGCAGAGGGGATTAGCCTACGAAGATCAAAGTACAGCAAAGGCACAAACCATGCTCATGCTGGAAGTGAGATGTATGTTTCTAGCAGATCTGAAAAATGGTGAGAAAAGAGCAAAGACAGCAAACACCAGGGCTTGCAAGAACTATGCTGAAAAAGACTGATGAACATAAAAAGATAAGTCGCTTCAATCAGATTCTCACTGAATGACAATAGTTGCATCATGGACTGTGGATACTGGCAGCTTGCCTTTGAAGAGACGTAGTTACACAGCCAGAGAAACAGTGAAGGTCAACTGATCCTCATAAATAAAAACTGACTATGAGAGGAACGACAGTGTCCCACAGGATATGCCACCATCATAGACTTTACCTTAGAGGAATTCCTACTCAGCATTATTTCATGACACTGAAAGTACAAAAGATAAAATGTTGGAACCTGAGCCAAACGTACAGAAGAATGTGACAATTCAATTCTCCATGGCACTGAAAAGATGCTCCCTCCATGCCATAAGCTATACAATGATAAGAAGGCAAGCACTACTCAAGCTACACTTGATGTTTTTGCAAAACAGTAACTTTAATTCTCAATGTTTGTACTGTTTTGATCTATAGTGCATTAAATATATACTATTTTACTTTTTTATTTTACTTTACATTTGAAAACGACTGACTTTCTAATCTTTGACAATAATTTTTCAAAGTCACAAAAAATTGTTTTCATTCCCACTGATTAAGATCATTTTTAATGGGTATACATCACTATGTAAAAGCAAGAAGGGCATAATGGTCAATGTCTAAATTTTATTTCATAGTTTTTCAACACTGTAAGCATAAATCATTCGAAATTTTCACTTATTGACCCATTACTATATAACAGCTAGTCCCCTCCTGAATATATTTTACAAATTACCCACAGTGTCATACATATTATATTGAAAGATGCCCTTTCTCCTAACCAAACAAGATATATAAAAGAGCATTATGTACCTGGAAGTGGTAACTGAACTAATATACCACTGACTTTGGGATCCATGTTCAACTGATCAGTTATATCCAAAAGTTCTTCCTGAGAAACTTCCTTAGGTTTTAGAATGAGCTCACTACAGATACCTGCAAGAAAAACAAGCAGAGAAAGTCACTGGACGAACCAAGATGTGGCTTCTCATGATTGGTGTGTTACACAGTGTGTGACTGGTTGCCCGAGCCCCTGTCCACTGGAAGGAAAGCCTTCTACAAAGATATGGATCCACGTACCACAAGAGATTTCTCAGGTAGTACAGGTGTTTTCTCATAACTTGCATGCATTCTTTGACTGCTATCTGAGAGGCCAATGTGCACTAATTTTTTTTTTCTTTTTTGGTACCAGGGATCAAACTCGGGACCTTGCGCTTGCGAAGCAGGCGGCGGAACCACTGAGCTAAATCCCCGACCCCACAATGTGCACTAATTTTGACAACCTAATCTCCTGTTAGCAGATTTGAAGAGAGTAGAAATACTGCTACCATAGATACTACTAGGCCAAATTGGACAGAGTAAACTCCTAAGATTTACTTTTTGCTGACTGCAAATGTAACAAACGTAGGCCCTTTAAATGTGAAGTATCCTACACATCTGTAAATTATGAAATCACACTGATTATACAGTATAAAAAAATCTAAAGAAAATTGCAAGAAATTAATGTGAACTTTGGTAACTGAATAATCTCTAACATATGTTATTCAAATGGGACTTATCTGATAATTATTGTTCAAAATTATCACAAAATTATAATTATCACAAAATCATCACTTTTAAGCAAAAACAGAAAACATTTAGAACAAATACAACTAAACAATGCCCACCTACAGCAGAGGCAGCTCGTATCTTATTCCTCACATATGTGTGGCTTGCTGGGTTGTCGCCCACTAAAACAATGCTCAGGTGAGGCCTCTCGTTCCCAAGGGTGAGCCAGGCCTCCACACCTTGCTGAACTTCCTTCTGGATCTGTTTGGCCATTTCAGTACCAGAGATAATAATGGCTTCGTGTCTATGGAAAGCAAAGCAAAAGTATAATACTCAAAAGACAATAAATAGCCTTCAACTGCATACATTTAAGGTACAAAAATGGACAAAACAACCATAAGAATCCAAAATTTGCTTTTTTCCAATTATATTTGATACTCATTCTTCAGGTTCATAAAAATTTTGTGAAAGGTTCTAATTCTTCTTTTTAATTCTACCTTATAATCTGTCTTCTACAGGCTGAATGCTTATGACCAACTTCCAGTATCTATGTTGAAATCGTGGCTGCTGATGTTACAGAATCAGGAGGTGGGGCCTTAGGAGGTGCTTGGGTCATGAGGTTGGAGACCCCAGGAATGAGCTCAGTAGCCTCATCAGACTCCAGAGAGCTCCTGCATCCTTCCCCATGTGAGTGCCCAGCAAGAAGGTGACCAAGTGGGAATCAATAAAGAGGCCCTCAACAGATACGGACTCTGCCGATGTCAGCCTCCAGAAGTGTGAGTAGCAAATGCCTGCTGTTCCTAAGCCAGAGAGAGTGGTGTGCTGTTATCTACAGGATGAATTCTTTCACAACTTTCATTCAATGCAACTGTCAAAACCGCATACTCAAGATCGGCATTACAATACTGACTGTAATAAAAACTCTTTTTTCTAAAGTACATCAGCATAGCCTGGTTAGCATAGCCTGGTTAGCCCCGGCACTATCCCTCAAAGTTATGCTTCATGTTGGATATATGTAGCCATCCAGGCACAAGATCTTAGGCTCAACCAGTTCACTCTTGGTTAGCATAACCCCCAGAGGACCCTGAAGTTACAAGTTTTGTGCTACACAGCTCTTATGTCACAGTCCCAGACCAACCCCAGACAAGAGCTGTCAGTCTTATCATGCTTACTGCTGATAATGATCATGGTGGGACCAGGTCAGTGAGCAGATGGCTCAAATGATGCACTATGACATCATTTCTAACAGAGAAATGTATAGAACAAAATTCTATACAAAATTATTCTTGGCAATTTATAAGTACTTGATAGATGACATAAACCATCTCTAGAAAGGCACAAATTAATGTACTGCAGGAAGGTGTTTCTATTCTCCATGATGTCAAACTGTATTTAATGTTCAGCTGAATTATGTTCAGGTGAACTGTGTTGCTCTGTGTGCTGATGATTTAGAGGTACAGAGCAAAGTAGAAAGTGGCTCCTTCTCCCTGTTCTGTCTGCCCTTTCACTATTGAAAGGCTTGGTCAAAGCGTGACCTACAGCACATGACAAAAAAACCCCACCAGATCTAGGTCTGCACCCATTATGAAGAAGAGAAAAAGGAGAAAGAGGGGGGAGTCAGAAGACAAAAAGGAGAATCTTAATTCTTTCTAGCACCTGCATGCTTATTTCCTAATAAGAGTATCCACAATGACTATCAGTCAACACACAAATGCAAACTTGCTGCCCTCACCAAGTAAGTAAACTGTGCTGTCTAATAGGTTTGTATACAGATAGATAAAACCAAGTCAAAGTTACTCAATTTCAGCTCAGTATCAGTGGTCCATGACATTTATTCAGGTTCATGTAATGTTGATGTGGAGTATATTGTTAACAAGTGATCCCCAAGAGTGGTCTATGGCTACACATATCAAAATCACAAGAGAAGCTTGCTGAACTTACACAGAACCACACCTGTAGTTCAGAATCCCTAGGGGTAAAGCCTGGAAATCTAAGTTTCCACAGATGATTTTTGTACAAGACCATATGTGAAAACTACTTCTGCAATTAAACACAAAGCTGTATCTTAAAAATCATAATTCATTGGTAGACAATTAACTGAGAAAATAAACAGTTACACAAAACAATTACACGTGGACCCTAAATAAACTCTACTTCTGATTTTAACTTTGCCTGCTCTTCAGTTAAAAAAATTAATAGATTTCAGGATATAGAAGATCAGGGTAAATTCAACATATCAATTTTGCTCCACTGTCCTACTTTTAATAAATACAATGTATTTATTAAATATAACTGACATATAATAAACTACATATACTCAAAATGTATGATTTGGTGAGTTTTAAAATGTCTATAGCCAGGAAATATTAATACAATGAATATATCTTTCACCGCACAAAGTTCCCAAGTGTCCCTCTGTAATCCCCCTGCAACCTGTCTCTGCAAGACTTGCCCTTCACTCACAGGCTCCCATTGATCTAGATTCTGCCAATACATGTTAGTTTATATTATCAAGAATTTCATTAAAATGAAATCATACACTACATATTCTCTTTTGTCCAGCTATTATTTCTTAGCACAATTATTTTAAGGTTCATTCATATTGTTTCATGTATCAATGGTTCTTTTCTTTAAATAAAAAAAAACAACAGCTGCTGAGTAGTACTTTATTGTGTGGATATACCAGTATTTGTTTACCTACTCAACTGTTGAAAGCTATTTGAATTGTTTCCAGTTTTTAGTCATGACAAATGAAAGCTGTTATAACATTAATGTGCAAATTACTGTATGTACAAATGCTTCATTTCTCTTGCGGGAATCCCAAGGATTAGAATGCATGGGTCATCTGCTATGTATATTTAAACGAAACTATCAAACTATTTTCTGAAGTAGTTGCACCATTTTATACTCCTACAAGCAGTGTATAAGAATTTCAGTTGCTGCATGTACTTGCCATCACTTGGTATGGCCAGTGGTATTCTAGTGGATATATAGCAGCACCATGTGCTTTTAATTTGTATTTCCTTAATGAATAATGTTGAGCTCTTTCACGTGCTTATTTTCCATCTCCTTCCTTCAGTAAATTGCATAATTTAAACTTTTGCCTATTGTTGCACGGGTTGTTTAAGAGTTCCTTATATACCATAGGTTCAAGTCTTTTAACATATATATAACTTGAATTGTTTTCTACTAGTCTGAGCTTTGTGTTTCTAATCTCTTGCCTGTGTCTCAAGAAAACTACTTTTTAATTTTGATGTATTCCAATTTATTGTTTTTTCCTTCTATGGATCATGTTTGAATGCTGTATATTAGAAAGTTTTGCCTAACTCAAGGTCTCAAAAGTTTTCTCTAATGTTTTCTTCTAGAAGTTTTATGGGTTCAGGTTATACACTTAGTTCTGTAATTTAGTTCTATGCTAGTTTGATATATTATCAAATTATTTTTCTGTACCTATTGAAATGATCATATATAGGAGTTTTTGATGTTAGTCTGTTAATATGGTGGTTTACACTAATTCAAATGTTAAATCAACATTCTATTACTAAGATGAGAGCAGATATGGCACTAATTCCAGCACAGCTCATTTCTAAGAGATAGTAAGAAGCAAATACTTTCTATAAGTTAATTTGCAGTATTCAGTTAAGATACTATACATTTATATATTTTAAAAATTTATATATACATTTATAAATATTTTTAAAACTTATTATAGTAAAAGACACATTGCCAAAAATGATGGTGTAAATGTTTGAAGTGAGGAGATTTTAAGAAGAATTAATGGCAATGTATCTTTTACTGTATTAATTTTTTTCATTTAAACATTCATCATATTATCACACCTCTAATAAGCTAGAATTTACTCACAGTAAAGAACATAATTATATATTTTAAAATTCCAAGCCAGCTGATCTCTATCTTGCATTTTATAGCATATGAGTAGCAATGCTACTATTAATGCTATCATTAGTTGATTCTCTATTACACATACTACTGTAAAGCTGGCAATGGCTGAACACAATCTAGGCTAATTGGAGCCTAGACCATGCAAAGATGTGTGATCTTCAGAATGTCAGAGGTCGTAATGGCATGAAATGAATCCTGTCTTCCAAAGAGATAAACTGTCTACAGGGACTCAATTTGCTGGCACGCTGCAGGTTAGGGTCTGGGACTCTGGCAGTCTTACTTTGCACTATAGCACTGAGGTGCTAAGTCAGCTTGGTAATTATAGGTGGCATGACATACCCTAGCTGGTGGCTATGGGTAAATTAGGAATTGAAACTCTAAGCATTTTCAATTGTAATCGCCCCTTACCACAGACTTCCTCAGTCATCAGAACACCAGTAAGTCTACCTCTGCAGAAACACAGTAAACAGCTGTAGCAAGCTCCCCAGAACTAGTGAGACCCAAAGAGAAAATGCCTGCATTGGCCCACATGCTGGAATAATCGGCAAACATACATTATTTGGCTCATAGAGTCCAGTGTACAAAAAACTGAGATTTTTCAATATACATGTTGTTGAAAGGCTAAAAAAGCAACAATATCAGCAACAATTCAAATGTTCAGCCACTGGAGAACACAAGCACCCAAGAGAACTCCTGGATCAATCCTTGATCCTCTTTAATCCATTTTCAATACTGCAGCCAGAGTGATTTTTCTAAATTTAATTGTAAATCCCCTAGGTTAAAACTCCTCATAATTTTGTTTGTTCATTTAATCCATATTGAAAGTCTTCCATATATGAGGCAATAAACACTGGGAAGAGAAGTAATAGTGCACCCAACAAATACACACTTCCATGGAAACTATACTGTGATTGAAGAGATAAACAATTTCCTTTAAAAAGTAAAAATTTAATCTATCATTGTGTGACATAATGAACAGAAAGGACATAACTAAGGAAAGCCAGAATTATTTTCTATCAATAGATTAAGGTATCATTTCTCTGGTAAGTCAGGTTGCCTTTGAGTAGAAATAAAGGAAATTAGGAAATATACAGTGTGGGTATCAGAGGGAAAGGAATTGTAGCCCAGGGAAAAGTGAATAGCAAGTATGAGGGCAGGATGCTGCTGGCCTGCTTGAGTCTTCTCTCTTCTCTTTTGTGCTCCGAGATCCCCATCATTTTCATATTGGTTCCTTGTCAATGTTCTATAAGTCTCACAGGCTTTCTCCACTTGTTTTCATTCTTTTTTCATTTTAAACAGTGAATTCAAGGGCAGAGTTACTGTACTGGAAAGAACAACTAGACAAGAGAAGGTCGGAAGTCAGAAAAGTGGATCTCAGATCAGATGAGGCCCTATAGGCCT